TTCTCTAAACTCAAACATACCTTTACTGTTCTTACTCCTATAATTGCAGAAAGGATACAGAACGAGATTGGGCTTGCGAGATTTCCACGCTCAGAGCAGGTGGTTACCACCTGCCTCCGTGGAAATCATTGACTTGGCGTTAATGTGCTTGAACCCCTTACTCAGTCACCCCATTCCCCCTTTCCTCGTAAGGCCGTGATAGTTGCACTAAATGCCTTGTTTAAAAAAATAAAAATAAGAGATTGGGTTTGCGAAATTCCTCATATTTATCGTGAATCCAATTTTTTGTGCCGATATTATGGCCTCTTGGTTCTACCAACTAGAGAAAGGCCAGTCCTTCACTATTTTGAAGAGATGAGATTATCTTTACATTAAATTATGACTTACTAAGTGTTTGTTGATCTCTTATTGCTTGAATGATAAATAGATAAGATACTACTTTATGTGCCCAAAAAATAAAAAGGAAATTAGGGTGTGTCTCGAATTAGAAAACAAAGTTGTTTCCCATCTCTATTCCTATTAAAAAAAATAAAACAAATAAAAATAAAAAAACTTGTTTGCTATTTAAAAATGAAAATAATTTTTTAAGAAAAGGAAAATGTAAGAAGATAAAAAACACTAAAAAGTCGTTGTCTAAAATATAACAAAACAAAGATAGAGATGGCAACTAATCCCTCGGGCCTTCCCATCCTTGGGAATTTCTCATGAGATTTTTGACAGAGGTAAAAAATGTGTTCTGTTTCTATCCGACGAAGAATGAAAGATCCTCACGAATATGAGGAATCCTCATTAAAGTAATCTAAATATTTTTATTTGGAATTTAAATTGGGGGAGGTAAGTTCTTGTGAACTAAACATTTATCACTTAGGAAGAAAACAAATAATTAAATTAAAATGCCATATAAAATTAGGGAAAAGGAAAAATTAAGATATTTTAATATTAAAAATGTTAAAATAGTTAATAATAATTATATGATGAATTTAATAAAATTATAACTCACATTATGTCTCACATTTAATAATTGTATTAAGATATTTTAATATTAAAAATGTTAAAATATTTAATAATAATTATATGATGAATTTAATAAAATTATGACTCACATTATGTCTCACATTTAATAACTGTAATTAAATATATTAATATTTTTAATATCAAAATATCTTATTTTTTCTTTTTCTAAGATTAATTTTATGAAGCCACTGCTTTACAAATTGAATAGGAAAAAGGAATAGGAGTAGAGAAATACCATATCAAAGACTAATAAAATTAAAACTCAACTATATCTCACTTTATTCACTTTGAATTTCTTCTCATATATAGAAATACCATATGAAATCTTGCTTATACTCTAAAAGGAGATGAACTTGATACCTAATTAACACTCAGTAAACTCATTTAAGAATACATCAAACATTCTAAGATGGTTACAAAAATTAAAAGCACTTGTTTCAAAAAAAATAAGTAGCCTAATTAAACTCTACACACTGAAGGTAAAGATTCCATAAAACAAATCTCACTATTTAAATAGAATTGACATTGACAATATAATCAACTAAATGACATTAATACTATTTAGTAATTGCATTTATTTTTATATTTTATAAAAATATAAATTTATTTTTTTTTATTTTAATGCAAATCCTCGCAGATCCATGAGTGGAAGAAATTCCCCACCATATTTTACAAGAAAAAATTCACCTTTATCTTTACTTACGTTGACTAATATTTTAGGAATTTTTATCCCCATAAGACATAAAGGAAATCACTATCCCTAAACACAAAGGCCCTTAATTGGAAGGAAAAACAATTGCACACAGAGGGACCTATCTGAGACAAATAAAACTATATGGGTCAAAATCTTTAATAATTAATATTTACAGCCCATATAAGACCCAATATCAGATGAAAGCCTAAAAATCTACAGCGCAATAGTTGTCTTCCTCGCTCCCGATGGCTTCAACCCTCTCTCTTATGGCTTTCTCTCTTCAGTAGCTTCCTCTAGGGTTTCCCCATATAACCCATTACCGTCTATTCGGGAAGCTATCAACTTACTCTTTCCGATCAGGGAACTCGTTGCCATGGGCCCTGTTCCTTTTAGCCTAAAAAAAAAATGTTATTTTTAGCTTTTGAATTTTCAATCTTAAAAATTTTTAGGTTTTGAATTATTTTTTACACTTTTTTTTCATCTTAAACTATAAAAATGTATTTTTTAGGCCTTTTCATTTAATTATTAATTTATTAAATCTATTCATATATAAATAGTTTTAATTTTTAAATTTAAAAATTTTAAATATTTATATATTATAAATAATAAAAAAAAACTTTCCTTGCAAATAAAATTGATCCCGAATATCAACAACAACAACCTTTATATTTTAAGTGATGATTTTAAGATGAAGATTTAGAGTTTAAAAAAAAAAAAAAAAACCAAGATTTAGAAGGAAATTATTTCAAATACATCATTGATTATATGGCTCCACACGATATTCCCTCACACTATGATGAATAAGGATAATGGTAGGAGGATAAGTATTTTTGTACAACTTCAATGTTTAATTAAATAAATAGATATAAAAAGTTTTAGTAAAGTGAAAATAATTAATTATTAAAATAATATGTATAATTATTTAAAAAAATTATAAAATCCTTAAGGGTCAAATTTATTAGTAAACATGTGTTATTTTATAAAAAAGATTTAAGATTTAAGTTATGGGGTCAGCATCTAGTGAAAATTAATTATCTTAAATGAATCAAATTAATATAGGGATGTACCTTTAAAAGGGATTAGTGTAGAGGTAAAGGAAAGCTAGCTCAATACACTCTTATAGTAAATATCAAAAAAATAAATTGTGATTATTTTAGCTTAAATTACATAATGAAAAATAATCATATTTTATCTTTTAACCCATTTCATAAACATATTATGCTATTCAAACTCAAGAATTTTTCCCAAAATAAGTAAATTACTAATGAGTTAGTGAGATTTAGTTCTAAAAATTCATCCTAATAATAAAAAGAATTTTTCTAATATGCAAGGGCATAAGTTAGAAGTCTAGAAAAAAAAAATTTTAATTTATTAATTATTTAATTAAATTTATTCATGTGATATTAATTCTAAAATTAATATTTATTTTTATAGTTTTTATACAAATTAATTATAAAAATATATGTTTATTATATCTTTAAAAATACATACATAAAATTTTTTTATAGTTTTTATATAAATTAATTATAAAAATATATGTTTATTATATCTTTAAAAATACATACATAAAATTTTTTTTTATCTTTTTGGACTT